CAATGATTTCTCTAATCAAATGGTATCGTCTCATAATGTGCTTGGATCTTTGATGATATCTTATCTCGTTTGCTTGCGCAATAGCCCCATTATAATCACAATAAATCATTATTGGATCAACAACAGATGGTACTACACCCAACCCTTGGATGCAGTTCCTTATCCAAACAGCTTCCTTTGCAGCATCAGATGCAGCAATATATTCAGCATCTGTCATAGAGTCAACAATTGTTTCTTGTTTGGAACTTTTCCAACTAACCGCTGCTCCATTCAGAGTAAACANNNNAACCAGACATGGATTTAAAGTCATCTTTATCCGACTGAAAACCAGAATCAGTAAAGCCTTCTAGTTTCAGTTCTCCATTTCCATACACCATAAATATATCCATAGTCCTTCTTAAGTACTTACGGATCATCTTAACCGCTTTTCAGTGTTCTTCACCTGGATTAGACTGATATCTGCTCGTTACACTAAGTGCATTAGCCACATCAGGTCTTGTACATAACATCGCATACATAATGCTACCAATAGCTGATGCATAAGGTATATAACTCATCCGTTCTCTTTCTTCAGGTGTCTTTGGAGACATCGTCTTAGAAAGTGAAACCCATGACTCATTGGAATATATCCACGTTTGGATTCTTCCATGCTAAACCGTTTTAGCACCTTATTTATGTACATTGACTGGGATAGTTCAATCATCCTTTTAAATCTATCTTTACAGATTTTTATCCCAAGGATAAAAGATGCTTCTCCCAAATCTTTCATGGAAAATTGTTTTGACAACCATGTCTGTGTTGATTGCAACATCCCTACATCATTCCCTATGAGTAAGATATCATCAACATAGAGTATAACAAAGACAACTGCATTCCCATTAACCTTCTTGTAAACACATCGTTCATCCAGGTTCTTATGAAAATCAAACGTTCTGATTGTTTCATCAAACTGAATGTTCCAACTCCTCGAAGCTTGTTTAAGTCCATAAATGGACCTTTGAAGCTTACAAACCATTTGTTCGCTCCCACTGGATATGAAACCCTCCGGTTGTTTCATATAAATGTCTTCCTTAATGTTTCCATTAAGAAATGCAGTTTTCACATCCATTTGCCATATCTCGTAGTCATAATACGCAGCTATAGCAAGCAATATCCGAATGGATTTAAGCATTGCTACTAGTGAAAAAGTTTCCTCATAATCAACTCCTTGTTTTTTATTATAACCTTTAGCAACAAGTCTTGCTTTAAAAGTATTCACTTCTCCATCTACACCACGTTTTCGCTTGTAAACCCATTTACAACCTATGGGTACTATACCCTGTGGTGGATCAACCAAGGTCCATGTAACGCCCCGACTTTTTACTGAAATCAGAGTACGCGTTTTTTGCATTTTTTCTGAATGAATAAATAAAATATTAATTTTGCGAAAACTGATTCAGGATGCTACCGTGAAAAACTTGACTTTTCTGAAAACCGTTAAATTTTGAACTGATAATGAAAACAGTAATAATATATTAACCGACTAAAGTCGGGTCAAAAGCTGTTTAAACGTACTGAAAGTTTTAGTGGAATAACAGCGTGGCCAAAACATATATACATATCCATAAATATCCTGAACTGCCCGCCAGCTCACTCCTCGTCCCCGACCCTGCGACCTGAAAAACATGAAATGCGTGGGGGCGTGAGCACTAAAACACTTGTGCTTCGCAGAAACTCATACTAAAGTAAACAGTGAATATAATGACAATATCATGATCCTGGTATATTTAATTGAACTGAAACTGAAAATTGATAACTGATATCTGATATCGGTACTAAATAATCTGATACTGATCTCGTGACATAGGTCACGTAACTGATAACTGAACATCTGTCGGCACAAAACTAATACCGAAATCTGCCGGCACAAACTAATATCGGACACCATGTGCACACTCTAGTGGGCAGATTAGGCCACTAGAACCCAGAATGGACCGGCGACCATTCCGAGCAGATACTGATAATACATACCTCAAACATGGTAGCGATATTATAATCAATGTAGTACTTAGTCTGAGTCCCCACCTGATCCGTGAAACTGAAGGTAGTGCTGATGCCTGATCAAACTGAAATATAATATAGACAATTACTACTGACTATGCTCAGACTGATAAATTAACTGATTAATTATGTTAAGATGCTCTACTGAACCTGACATGATATTCGGACTTAATCGGTATAACTGAAACCGGTTAAGTACGAAACTGAATTGATATTAATTTACCGAACTGAACTGAACCCGGAATTTTAACTGAAAATGACACTGAAATCATGAACCGGGACTGAAACTGAAGAATACTGACTAAACCGGTCCAGTCGGTCTGGACCGGACTGTCGGTCTGCTGAACCGGGCAGTCGGGTGCTGGCTCGACCAGCGGCCTGCCTATGCTGCGCACACGGGCGCTGCCTGGTGGCTGCGGCGCTGGCTGATTGGACTGACCGTGCGGACGGCAGCTGGGCGGTCCTTGGCACGACTG